CTGTGAACTAGCTGAATTATTGAAATGCCCATTTTAAATAATTAATACACTCAATTTCAATTAAACTTATTAATTATATATGTGCACAATTACCTGAATCAATTTACAATTTTGGATAATGAAAGTTGTACGAGTCTTAATATAATATAACAAAGTGGTAAAGTGCACTTACAATGATGCACATCTATGTACAATTTTGCAATAATATATATTCTCGACTAGATTTTTATAATCTTACTTACTCATTTGTGCACTTATATTTCAATTTTTCATTCATGTACGCACTTTTTAATATTTGTTTTTATTGATCCACAATGAAAATATATCTACACAACTGTAAACTCTTAAATTTGTGCATTCTAAATTCTAAATACTACCTCGGTCCCAAATTGATTTTCAAATTTGACTTTTCTTGGTCAAAGAGATTCACTTTATTCGCTTAAATAGGATGTCAATTTTTAATTATATTATAATTTGGAGTTTATAACTTTGAATAGATTTTAATGTAATTTCTGAATATATAAATTTTAATTATTAAAAATTGGATTAATTATCGATAGGGGGCATTGACTTTATTATTGGTTGACAAAAAATGTTTACTTTGCAAAACAATTTGGGATGAAGGGAGTATAAATAAAAGTGCACTATCATATCATACTTTGTAAAACTTTATATTTCACTTTCTTACAAAATGAAATTCACTTTTTATCATGTGCAATTTAAATATATACAAAAGTGCATTATTATATCACATTTTCTAAAATGTTCCATTGACACTTTTTATAGAAGAAATGCACTTTTTTTTAAAAAACATAATAATTTTTTTATTATGATGGTGTATTCTAGTGTCACTTGTATGCACAAAAGATAAATAAAATAATAAAAAAGTGCACGAACAACGTATAATAAGTGCATCAAAGTAATCTAAATTATGTTGTGCTCTTACATATGAGTTGTTGTGAACATTAAACATGAAACCAACTCTAATCACATGTGACTATATCTTTGTTATAAATATGAAAATCCCAAAAATAGATAAATAAAAGTAAATAGAATGAGGAATACAAAAACTAGACATAAGATATGGGTAAACATAAGAAAAACAAAAGAAAAATAATTAATAAATAACACACAGGATATATTAAAACATAAAATGATAAAATGATCACGATTTATTTTAGCATGAAAAAGGGATATGTCTTCCAAATTTGAGAATCAAATGGCTAAAACAAATGAAAATTAATTGGTGACAACTCCGGTACCTTTCTAAAATATGGGGTACCGTACCTATCATTCATTTGATTGGCCCACATCACTTTATCATTTTTAATTTAGATTTAAATAATTCAACTGCTACTTTCTCATTGGTCATATGGACAAAGGTAAAGAAGTATGCAGCGAACCGTAAAGCAATAAAAAGGACATATGGTTGGCCTTGCAAGATTGTAGGGAAAACAGTTATGGAAACAATCCCATGATTCTACGGAAATAATTGTGCAACTTTAATAGGATGTAAAATTCTCTTATTTGCTCTTAATAAAAGGTAGCCGAAAATTTTAAAAACTTCAAGATCTAGTGGCTATATAATTCTTTCTCATTTCTCTCCTAAGATTGTTTTCTCACTTGATCCTATATATATATATATATATATATATATATATATATATATATATATATATATATATATATATATATATATATATATATATATATATGAGAGGGTTCTAATGAGAACGACCTTTAAAATGAGAAATAGTTATAATGAGAACTTTTAATCACAACCTTTTATTTAATTCAATCATTGGAAGGATGCATACGGGGTACTTTGTGTAATTAATGGAAATTCAAATGGGGTCTTTTTTATAATTAATTATTGTAGAGTTATTACAAAATTGTCACCTTATTAATTCTAACCGTTGATTCCATAAATCAAGGGTGTTGATTAGAAGTTTTCACACACACATATATATATATATATTGTTCACTGCTCACAGAAAGGCATAGCAGCGCAAAGATAAGTGATGAAGCAGAGGAAGGCACAAAAGTTAGTGGGACCATCAGCCCAACAGCCAAAGTAAAAGATTTGAGGTATAGATACATGCATTGGAAGATGGAAATGGCTCGAAACCTTAACACTAACCAATGTTATCTAATCAAATTCTACATACTTACAAGTTATTAATTAACTGTGACATACTACTATCAACACATATAGGAATTATAGGGTTTTTGTTACAACATGGAATTTGGGTGGAAAGACTCCCAATCATGGACTCAACCTGGAAGATTTTTTGCAAGTGGAAGACGCCCCCGACATTTATGTCCTCGGGTATGCATGTGTTTTGTATGTGTGTTTTGTCTATGCACACAATATACACACACACATATTCAGGTCTAGCCGTTCGTGACTGGAGCACCGTCCGGCCTCTGCGTTTTGTGAATGTTCCTCATCAAGTCTAGTTTGTACATATCAAATTTCAGATAAAAATTCAATCGGGAAGGCAGTCAAATGATTTTTGGAAGATAACTGCTTTTTATGTGTACAGTTTTGGCGCAGTTATCTTCCAAAAATCATTTGACTGTCTTCCCAATTCAATTTTTAGCTTAAATTTGGTATGGATAAACTACACTTGATGAGGAACGTACACAAAAAATTTCAGCAAAAAATAATACAGGGAATCGCCCAAAAACCCGGAGGCCGGACAGCGCTCCGATCAGGAATGGCCGGACCTGAAGACAATATATATTTAATAGTCCCAAATAAAACTAAACTAATCCCTAAATGCACAAATAGGACTATTTAGTTATCTTCCCAAAAAAGGCTAAAGTATATCCTATCTACCTATTATACCCTTACCATAACATAATAGGATAATCATATTTTAATTTGTATTAAACACAAAAAACAATAAAAAATAATTTAACTCATACAAAAAATCGTAAAAATTATAAAAAATACTAAAATAATTAAATTAAAAACATTATTTTTAAAAAATAAAAAACTCTAAAAATAAATAAAAAAATAGATAAAACACTTTAAAAAATATGGAGGGCTCTCCCACAGTTTCAACTACTGCCCAGCCAAGTTACATCTGATAGGCTAAAAAATATCATTTTGTTTCAAAACTGCCATTTTTCTCTGAAAATGCCATTAAGATGATATTTTACTCGTTGAAAATGTCAACGTTTTCCCGAAAACTGCCATCAATATGACATTTTAGAAAAATGTTGGCATTTTTTTTTGTGGTCGGAGCTAGAGGTGTTGGGAGGTTGCTAAGGTGGCAGCATAATCCGGCATATTTTTTAAAGTTTTTTATTTTTTTAATTAATTTTATTCAATAATTATTTCGTGTTTTAATATTATTCACATTTTATTATAAATAAAATTATAATATTACTTTTATATTTTTATTATAAATGAAATATGAATTGTATTAAAACAAAGCAAGGGTAGTATTGGAAACTTAGTCCTGTTTAGGGAATTTTTAAGTTATGGTCATATTTTGGCAATTAAAGTTTGATTTAGTCCCTTTTGAGGAATTATCCCTGTATATACATACACACACATGTATATATGTATATACATAGAGTAATCATCCGGTCCCTCCCTTCCTGACCGGAGCGCCGTCCGGCCTCCTCCTTTTGGGGAGGTTCCCGGTGGTATTTTTTGTTCAAATTTTTTGTGTATGTTCCTCATCAAGTCTAGTTCATCCATACCAAATTTGAGCAAAAAATGTCATCGGGAAGGCCGTCAAATGATTTTTGAAAGTTAACTGGTCCGGAATATACATATAAAACGCAGTTAACTTTCAAAAATCATTTCACGGCCTTCCCGATGGAATTTTTTGCTCAAATTTGGTATGGATGGACTAGACTTGATGAAAAACATACACAAAAAATTTGAGCAAAAAATACCACCGAGAACCCCCCAAAAGGAGGAGGCCGGACGGCGCTCCGGTTAGGAAGGGAGGGACATGAATAATCCTCTATATACATATATATATATATAGAGTGTTGTTCGAGTCAGGCGGCCTGACCGGACAGCCCCGTGCGGACTTCCCTTTTGGGGGTCTTTCCGGTAGAATTTTTTGATGAAATTTTTTTAGCATGTCCCCCATCAAGTCTAGTTTATCCATACCAAATTTCAGCTCAAAATTCGATCAGGAAGGCAGTCAAATAAATTCTTGAAACATATTGCTCTTTATATATGCGCAGAATGACCAATATGTTTCAAGAATTTATTTGACTGCCTTCCTGTTCGAAATTTTGAGCTGAAATTTGGTATGGATAAACTAGACTTGATGAGGAATATGCTCAAAAAATTTCATCAAAAAATTCCACCGGGAAGACCCCCAAACGAGAGTCCGCACGGGGCTGTCCGGTCAGGCTGCCTGACTCGAACAACACTCTATATATATATATATATACACACACACACACACACACACACATATATACACATATATTTGTATATATGTACATATATACATATATGTATATACTGCGCAGTTATTTTCCAAAAATTATTTGACTGCCTTCCTGATTGAATTTTTAGCTGAAATTTGGTATGGATAAACTAGACTTGATGAAGAACATGCTCAAAAAAATGTCATCAAAAAATTCCACCGAGAACTGGCCGAAATGCCCTTGGCCGAACGGCGGTTCCCGTTAGGCCAGCTGGACACGAAAATTCCTGACCGGAGCCCCGTCCGGCCTCCTCAATTTGGGGGCTTTCCCGGTGGTATTTTTTGCTCAAATTTTTTGTGTATGTTCCTCATCAAGTCTAGTTCATCCATACCAAATTTCAGCAAAAAATTCAATCAGGAAGATTGTTAAATGATTTTTTCAAGTTAATTGGTCCGGAATATGTATTTTCCGGATCAGTTAACTTGCAAAAATCATTTGACGACCTTCCCGATTGAATTTTTTGCTCAAATTTGGTATGGATGAACTAGACTTGATGAGGAACATACACAAAAAATTTGAACAAAAAAAACCACCGGGAAGGCCCCCAAATGGAGGAGGCCAGACGGGGCTCCTGTCCGGAAATTCCAGACAGGAATAGCACTCTCTCTATATATATATAGCACACATCGTTAGATCATTATAATCCTTATATAGAACATTGTATTAGAACGAATGTAGTAAATGAAATATAACGGTGTGCGTGGTTACAGGTTTCAGGAAATAGTGCCATTGAACGCGGGAAACGTGTTAGTGATTGAAGACAATGAACCAGCAGCGAGGTGGTTAGGCTTCATAAGCAAAGCACTTAACAAATCAAGCCACTCATCATCAGCAGCAGCAACGGCAGAAGGGATAGTGAGATCAAATTTTTTCCACAGGCCATCTCTCAAGGTCCTTAGCCGCAACCTTAGGGCAAACCACAGCCTCCTTAAGGCATGCAACTGCCACTTGGACTCCCCGAGGCGGCTCCGCAAGCTCGAGGCTGCAGCCGAGTGTCCTCCCCATGCCCCCGCCAGCAGCATGAATGATGATGTTGACTTCGCTTATGCACATGTTTCCGGTGATTTGGACTACAATCTCATAGCCAGCAAGCAAATGGTTGGGATCTTTCTTTCCATTTGGGCACGTAAGGAGTTGGTTCCCCATATTGCCCATCTACGAGTTTCATGTGTTGGAACCGGAATCATGGGCTATCTAGGCAATAAGGTTCAATTCACAATCACATTATCCTTAAACTAAATATGGAGTGAACTACTTTAATATAATTGGTGTTTGCATTTGGTTACTGCAGGGTTGTATATCAATCAGTATGTCTGTGCACAAAACAAGTTTTTGCTTCGTATGTTGTCATCTGTCTTCTGGGGAGAAAGGAGGGGATGAGTTAAGAAGGAACTCAGACGTTGCTGAGATTCTAAGAAACACCCAATTTCCCAGGATTTGCAAGATTCCAGATCATCCTTTTCCCCTAAATATCATTGATCACGAGTAATATATATGCTCCCTATTCTTTCATTCCATCATATTCATCAATTAGACACTAGTCACTAGCTATATCATCCATGCATTATCATCTTTACTAGCTACCTTAGTCTAGTGCATGTTCAAGTATTTGTCCTACATCAACTTAACAACGTATAATATATAAACCATACCAATATATAAAATAATGACTATATATTCCTCATTCAGGTTAATTTCTAAAGTGATATTAAACTTCATGTCTTAATATCTAATTTAGCAGAGGAAACTTGAAATTGAATATTCAACATTCATACAGTGTCGTGTCGCATTTCCAAATTCCTGTTTTGAATCATAAATAATGCTTTATTTCATAGAATATAACTACATGCATGCTTAGAGCTGAGAGGGTAACTAGCTAGCTACCTTAGTGGATACTAATAAAAAACGGTACATGTATATGTATTCATGGATCGATTCAATGGAGTGACATCATATAGATGATATATCCATCTATTTTATTCACATACACATGGATTCATGTATATATAGGAGAAAGGAACATATATACTCAGCCTCCAGTATTAGTGTGAGAACAGTTATACCTTTTTTTTTGGAACAGTACATGTTTACCCTCCCTAACATTTTTAACATATATACTCAGAATTTAAAGTTTCTTTCTTTTTAACATTTATTTCTTCTGTATCGTATAACAACAATCCGATTATATCAAATGGAGGTAGGAGACGTTCTTCGATGTATCTTTTAATATAATACAAATGGATGATATTTTCATATTTGCACCTAGCTGATCCTATATGAAAAAACTATTGAGCCTATTATTGAATGCTAGTTGGGGGCTACCCAAGACTGTTGAAGTATATATAGTACCACTAAGTATATATAGAGAGAGTTTGTACTTCGTTTTTGTGTTGTGAAGGAAATATTAGTTTTTTCAATGTGAGCACATAATATTAGTGTATAAAATAAGGAGTAGCAGAAATACAGTCTTAACTCTAAAAAAAGAAAGAAAAAACATAGAAAAACAAGGCCCAACCAACACAAGCCAGATAAAGAGTGAAATTGCTTGAGTTAGAAAGACAGAGTTGCACCGTTGGATCTTCTCGGAATCTGTCCTCTATTTTCTGAGGTTTGACTCATCTGTCGTCGATGGCTCTGGTTGGACATCCACTCTTACTTATTCTAGTCTCCTCCTCGCTTCTTTATCTCACCCGTGGTTAGTTACTTACATGGTCGGACTGAGTCCAAGTCTTGAACTCAACTCTATGACCTTCACCTCCTCTACCATCTATGTTTGTAGCTTTCACTTCTCTATTATTCGGAACAAAGAGGAACAGAAGTCTACAATACTTCAACAGAAGTATATTGTGGATTGACGGGAACGTAAATACCTTTATGGCTTGTTTGTTTGGGGTTAACCTAGTTTATTGCAGGTTCAATTTTTAGTTAACCTCGTTTATTTGTAATTTTGCAACAAGAACCTAGGTTATGACTTAACCTCATAACTCCTGAGAACCTAGAAACACCTCAAATTGAAGAACCTCCGAAGCGGGGGTTTTAGAGGTTAAGTTCTCGTTCAACATAAAATAAACTAGAGTATCCAATCAACATTCATGACATTAACCTAGGTTAACCTTATTAATTTCCAAACCCTATTTTATGCATGAACCCAGATTTTAACCTAGTTTTTATTAAAACTTAGGTTTACTTCAGTTCACTTTATCCAAACAGAAAATTAATGAACTGTTAAGGAAGGATACCTTTATGAAAATAGATATAATGGCATAGATATTACTTCATCGCTTCTATTAGACAAAAATATTACCATTTTTAAAAATGACAAAAAAGTGACCTTTTATAATACTCACTTTCAATTATTCGAACGCATCCCTGCAGCTATCTTCCATGCTTTCAACATCTCCATTCAACTTCTCTGTTCCGTCCTCATCACCTCTCGGCGGCAGGTCTAGCCCGCCTTCCTCTTGGTCTGAACAACCACCTCCCAAGCACGACTGTCAGGCGGCAACCACCATCTCCACCGCAATCGAACTTCGCCGACGGTAGCATCTTGCACCTTCGCCTTCAGCTTCGTTGATGACAGCAACAACCCTAGCTTCTCTGTTGTCCTCGCTAGCCGCGCCTCCAATGGACGACGTCTCCGATCTGATGCTGACGGTTCCGGATCTGTTTTCCTCAATGACCGGACTCCGATTTGGGGCCGCGAGTGCCGGATCCGCCATCCCCGATGGACGATGAGTCCGATTTGGGGTTGCAGCTGGTGGCGGAGGTACGGTGGTGGTATGGTACGGTGAAGTCGGAAAGTTTTGCGCTTCCTGCTTTACTCAGTTGAAGACAGAAGTCTTGAAGCCGCTGCTCTCGTACTCTGCCTGAGCCGAAGACCACAAGTTTTGAAAATTGAAGAAACTTACAAGCTTGGTAGGCAACTAGTCTAGACTTCTTAGGGATTACTTGATTGGAGAAGGGCCAAAAATGACAGTAAGGTTTTTAATGAAACTCGGATTGGACACTTACGGTTTTACTAGACCAAATTAACACATATTGAAGCTTTTGGGTTGATTTTTAGCCATCCACTAACTTTCCCGTTAAACGGGCGTTTCCCCTGCTACCAAGTAGTCATTCCTAACTCATTCTTTATGACGGGATTACAAGCTTTTCAACTTTGCTTATAGTGTGCGATGCTCCAGATTGATAGTCGCTGCGAGTTCAGAATAGGGTGAGGGGCAAATGAGCACTTCCATTGAGGATTGCGTGATGCTTGGGTACCGTTAAGGTTGATATTAGATAAACAGATATTAGTGAAAGGAGATTTTTGTATACCGTGTACCAAACCAGGTTGTAGAACATGTTCACCCATATGTTCTTGATTTTGATATCCTGAACAATGGGAAGAACATTCGGGTTGAATTTGTCATCCGGGTGATCACTGACATCACCCGCGATCTTTATTCCTGTTCATGTGTTTTGCATGTACACATTGGAGACAGTAATGTCGCGTATGTTCCCTCCTTGACTGTCGACCGGTGTTAGTTTTTATGTGGATGCCCACACCCATGTTGAAAAAGTTTATATGCTCGGCCAGAACATCAAATATGCCTCCAGAGGTTTCAATTCCCACTGCAATTCCAGCAAATGGGGAAGACCCAGTTACCCTGCGTATGGTAATGTTGTGGCTAGGCCGACCATAAGCAATGCCATACTCATCCCCAGTGGAAATATATGAGTTCTCTATGCAGACATGAGAACTTAAATAATGACAACCCAATTCACTTAAAGAATGACATCAAACACTGTCCAATCTGAATCGAGCCATTTTGGAATATGCATATGGGTGAATAGTATTGTGGGAGTATATGTTAGTCCTTCCCGCTAGGGATTATTGTAGGGGAAATAAGTATTAAGATGACAAACACCAATCCAAAAGACTACAAAAGATGAAGTTAAGTCTATAGTCTGAGATTTTATTTAGAGTGAAATTTAGAATACAATTAAATGATTTAACCACTCAGATGCAAAAAAGAGCGAATTTGGGAATAAGGCGCTAGTCTAGTGTTATGTAAGATGCTTCAGTGAGATTATAGAGTTAAAGTATTGTGATTTTTTATGGAACGATTTTAGATTTAATTGCTCAAGATTTAAGATTTTAGATGAATCACATTGGAAGCCCCAATTCCTCGTTGAGTTAAACACCACCTGCCATTTTTATACTTTACATCTTGCTCCACATTCATTACCACTCAGGAATGATATAACCAAATTATAAGAAAGCAAACACACCCATCTATTCTCACAATTGAATTCCAAAAAACCAAGTTATATCATATACCAAAGTAAACCAAGTACAATAGAAAGCATTTTACAAGACTAAATTAAAAGCATACATAACAAGACAGCAAGGACACACAACAACACTACAAAGTCTACAATCACATAGTTCCTTTTTAATTTCGCTCCTCTCTCCAATTCCAGATGCTCTGCAGCTTTAGTATGGTTAAGCTCTTCAACTTCAAACTGTAGTTTTTGTTTTAAGGTATCATCATATCCCAAGAATGGTGTTTCATCAAACTCCTCCCCTGCACATATGGCCTCCCCTGCACGTATGGCCTCCTCCGGTCCCAATATTGTATTGTGAAGTCTTCTGTTCCCCCTTTTTAGATCATTGATAACATGTTTGGCCTTATCTGTCACATGCTCATCATGCCATTCAAAGAATCCACATCCATCCTTCTATAGACACAAATATGAAAATACATCAAATGGGGTGAATGACACAATTTTTAAAATTTCAAATTCAAATAACTCATAATACGGGTAACCATAGAACCGTCTCCCTGGATTCGTATCAATCCATGAAGTCCAGAGTGGAGCTTTCACAGGGATTCCATTCGGGTCCCTACATTTACCATATCTCGCCCGTCCAGAATATTGGTGCTCAATATTGCTTTGAAACTTGACTGAATCAAGGGAGGATGATTTGTGTTTCCCAAACAAAGAAAGGTTAAGGTGATACCTCCTGTATCCTACACTCCTATCTTCATTAATGTTTGGCTTGGACCCACAATGGCATGTTGATCCAGCAAAAAGGGACGGAGTCCAGAATCACATAAGTCGGCACTATCACTTCGGAATTAAAGAAGGGCACTAAAGAATTGATAATTGAAGATAGAGAAAGGGATACCTGGAAAAGACGGGTGAAATTGGGCTGCTAAGCTTGATGGTGCTCAATATTGATGCTTTGTAGAGCTTGATGGTGAAGGACTATCTCCCATGGCTATCGTTTCTTCAAGCAATATGTCTGCATAATAATAGGTGAGTGATAAGAATTGGGGTTCTTGTGTATGTGTTTATTGGGGTGTGGTTTAATAGCAAGGAATGGGTCTTGTTAGCACTTAGCAGGGAAACGCCCGTTTAACGGGAAAGTTAGTAGATGGCTAAAAATCAAACGCAAAAGCTTTAATACTTCCTCCGTTCCCTTTTAATTGCAACAG